CACCATCACCACCATCATCACCATCACTACCATCACCACCACCGTCATCACCACCACCCTCCCCCTCACCATCACTACCTCCACCATCACCACTACCACCATCACCCTCATCACCATCATCACCACCACCACCCTCACCATCACTACCACCTTCATCACCGTGACCACCAGTAAAGGCTCCTTGGTACTTGGTCAGAAGTACTGGCTCCTGACCTAGCCCCACAGGCCCATGTCCTGCCCGGAGTCACCGGCGGAGTCCTGCCAGCCTGGCCAGCCAAGGATACGTCACGATGCCTGCCAGTAGCCAGTAGTCATGGCGTCGGTGCCAGATGTCATAGATTTTCCCCGAGGACACAGCAGCACGCTCCTCATTCTGCCATAGTGTGTGCAGCTCTAGGAAGGGTGCAGAATGAGAGATGCCACCCCCAGCCCTTAAATAAGCTGTGCCCTCCCTCACTACTTCCACCCTCCCCACCCCAAGGCTCACCACTTGTGTTTCTGGGAAAGGCTGCACGACAGCACAGACTTCTAGCAACCATTTCCACGGCAGTATAAATAACCACCTGCGCAGACGCCCAGGAAGCTGTGACAACAGCCCAGCTCCGTGCCCGCTGCCCCCGGTACCTGTGAAGCCCCCATCTGCAATGTTGAACATGAACTTGAGCGTCCCGCTCCTGTCCTCCTTCCTCCCGTCCTCATCTTCGTCTTTGTCACCATTCTGCTGTGTCTCACTGGACTCCTTCTCCTCAGCTTTGGAGTCATCTGGGGCAGGACGACACCCACAGTCATCCATCCATCCCAAGCGCGCTGCCCAGGGTGCCTCTGCCGGGTGCCGGGGCCCAGAGACCGGGGACCCGTTCCCCACCTTAAAGTCCGTCGCTCCCAAGAGGGACTTTAAGCCACCCAGGAGCCCCCGGCGTGGCCAGGAGGCGACCCCGCCTGGGCCCAGCCCCGGCTGTGAGGACGTGCAGAGCTCTGTGACAGTGCGGCTCAGGCTCCAGGGGGCGCAGCTGCCCGGGGACCCACAGGTGCGACAGAGCACCCCGAGGCCCAGGGCCGAGGACAGGCCGCGAGAGACCCCACCTGGCCTGAAGTCGCCGCCGTCCCCCCGGCTGTGCAGCGAGCTGGGCTCCAGCTTGTCCAGCACCTTCTCCTTCTCCGGAAGCACCTCTTCTGCAAGACAAAGGGTGTGCGAGGCTGGGCAGGGTCTGTGAGGGTGAGGGGACGCTGCCGGCGCCACCTCGTGGCAGCTGCCTCGGACACCGGGTGTGCCCGCCTGCCCCGCAGGGCTGTCAGGTGTGCACCGCGGGCGGGGCGGGGCGCGGACCCCACTGGCTGCTGCTCCCTACTCACCCCAGCCGAGCACCCCAACCCCTCATTCCTCAAGACCCGGCCTGGAAATCCTCCCTGCCACACGGACAACAGAGGCCTGGCAGCTCTGGCACCGGGACCTGCCCTCACGCCAACACCCAGAAAAGCCAGGCAGGTTCCGGCATGTTGAAGAGACACAGGGTAAAGTGCCAGGCCCCCAAAGGAAGGGCCACAGCAGCTGGACCCCCGGCAGGGGCAGACACTAGGAAGAGCCCCAGAGGAAACAAGCCACTAGCCACCCATCTGCCCGAGAAGGCGGGGGGCGGGGACAAGGGGACACGGAAAAAGCTGCTGGAAGCAGATCCACAGTCGGTCACACTGAACACGTTCGCTGCCAGCGTTGAGGCTGCCCTGGCCCCGGCCTCGGGACTTGATAGAAGGGGTCTACTTACTCCCTCACCAGCGGTGTGAGGGGCCACCCGCGGGCGGGCCTCACCCCACAGCGCTTTAAACTGCGGGGAGTTCGCAGACCCAGCACAGAAAGGGGGCGGTGCTTGGAAGTGGGACAGGGCTGGTCCCACCGGGGCTCCCCGCAGGAACAGAGCGGCTTGTGGGGGCTGAGAGCAGTGTCCAGCCACCCACAGGCCGGACCCAGCGTGTCCTCCAGCTCTGGACGGCAGTCGGGGCCATGAGCATGGGCGGGGAAAGGGCTCCCCGACACATCTCCACGCAGGGCTCTCGCTTGGACCTGCGAGGCCCCGGGGCCGCCCCGCCCGCCCCACCAGAGGCTCCGTTTCAGCTGGGAGCGGCCTGGGGCTGTCGCAGAAACAGCACAAGTGGGTTAAAAGCCGCTGTAGCAAGAAGCTCTCAGGTGAGCGCGGACAGCCTGCGGGGCGCGGGCCACCTCTCCCCGGGCAGAGGCGCTGCCCCAGCGGGACATGGTGCGTGGCCGACGCCGTCTCCACTACCGGGACCCCGCAGGAGGCTCTGCAGGCTGGGGTCAGCGCTTGCCCCCCGGGCCCAGGCCAGCCCCGCACACCGGGCAGCGGGAGGCGCGGCTGGGACGCCAGGGCTGGGGGGTGCGCGGGAGGCGCCAGGATGGGGGGGGGCAAAGGCGAGAGGGAAGACTGCGAAAGGCTTTGCGGAGAGAGTCGGGCGCCCCAGGACCAACACGGTCTCTGGCCAAGACGCTGGCAAAGGCCGGTCCCTAGGCAGACTCACGAGAGCCGCCGTCACCCGGCAGGACCACAGAGCAAGGCGGCGCCTGGGGTCCCCGCCCCACCCTGGCTTCGTAGTAAGTTTGCAAGAGCGAAGGGGAGATGACGTGAGCGAACGCGCCAGCTGCGAGTCTGCCAGGAGCTCTGAACGTGGCGCTCGCCGTGGCCTGGCGTGGCCTGGCGTGGCGTCTCAGTGCTGCCACTGCGCGGCCTGAGCTCCGGGCCAGGGAGGGACCCAGGGCCGCAGGCCCCTCCGGTCCCCGCTGTCCCCTCAGCAGGGAGCTTCGGGGAGCCGCCCGAGCTGCTCCCCACTCTGTCTCTGAGGATCCTTGCCCATCTGGCCTGCACCCCGGATCTTCTACATATACCTAAATGAATAAAATCTTTCAAAAAAAGAAAAAGCAAATAAATGAGGGGGCAGCTCCAGGAGGAAGCACTGAACAAAGCCACGCGGAAGTGCAGACCGGCTGCTGAGAACGCGGAGGATCCGGGCAAGTCTGGGACGCGCAGAGCCCATGGGAAGAAGGCACTGGGGGTGCCGGGGGCGGCGGGGCCAGGGGGCGGGGCCCGGCGCGGAGGGCGTGTCAGACACCTGCGGGCGCGCTTCCAGGCCAGCGGAGCAGGAAAGAGAGGAGTGAGGGGAATGGGGCGAACCCAGGAGAGGGCAGAAACAGGAGCACAAGCAGGCAATACAAAGCCCAGAGTAACCTCGGGGTGCTGCCCAGATGTCCAGCTACTACGACAGGTGTGAAGAGATCAAACTTGCCGGCTAACAGAGCCTACAGCTGCGTTCGCACGCTCAGGTCCCTCCGCACGCTGCTTTCGAGAGACGCACCTGAAACGCTCACACGTCGGTGAAATGTAGAGAAAGAAAAAGCTGCCAGCGAGCCGTGCGTCTGATGGGGAACAGCCACTGCGCGAGAGCAGCTCCGTCCACAGTGAGCGGACGCTCAGTGGGCGGTTCTCCAGCAGCGAGCCCACGAAAGGATGCGTCTTGCTGCCTGAGGGGCACAGCTCGAACCCCGGGGGGCAGGGGGCTCCTCACCCGCGGGGGGGCCGTCATGGACAGACCAGACGGTGGTGACCGGCACTGGCGAGGCTGGGCAGGACCCTCGCTCCCGGCCGGCGGGGCCGTGACTCAGAGCGGCCGTGTCACACGCGAGCGGGGGATTCTCCCGCTCTCAGGTAGGCACCAGACAAGCAGCCCCCTCGCGCTCCCAGCGCGCAGACGGTCAGTCACGGCAGCCAAACCGAGCACAACCAGCGTCCACTCGCGCCCGTCCACACGGCAGGACGGTCAGCGGCCGGAAGGAAGCAGGTGCCCTAGATGCCCCAGCATGGATGAAGCCCGAACACAGGACGCCAAGTGAGCAGAGCCGGAAGCACACGACACGCTTTGCAAAGACCGAGGGTGGCGCTGCGGTGGGGCCCGGGGAGCCGTGGGGTACCTTTCAGCAGCGGCTCTGGGGACGGCTGGGCCTTCTCCGTCTCCTCCCGGGCTCTCTCCTTGCCGTCTGAGCTCTCGAGCTTGTCCTCGCCCTCCACTCTGTCCAGGGAAGCTGGCAGGGCCTGGGAAGGACACGGCAGGGCCGCTGCAGATGCCCCGGCCTCGGCAGCGATACGGGCAGGCCGCAGCCGCTCTCCCCCGGCTCCCGCCCAGGACCCCACGCCTGCAGCCCGGAGGCGAGGCGCCGGCTGCCACACTCCCTGCACCCGGCAGGAGCCCAGGCAGTGCCACCTTCTGTACCTGGATTTCCGGCGGCTTCTTTGGCTTCTGCACCCCCAGGTCCTTCTCATCCATGAATCCCAGCTGGGCTTCCATTTTGTCTGAAAGACCAGGAGATGAGGCTGTGGGCTCAGGAGTTGAGGGGAGAGGGCAAGAACTGGCGTGCAGAGAGGAGAGGGGGGCCTGGCCCGCAGGAGGCGCCACCTGGGCTGGGCAGCACAGGAGGACGGGTGAGCCAGAGGCCCCAGGATAGCCTGTCGCCATGGGGGCGACCTTGGGCCGCAGGACAGGGCCGCGTGGGGGGGCCACCCCTCTGGAAGCAGGAGGCGTGGGGTGGAGGCCCAGACAGGGGCAGGAGCCAGCGTCCTAGAGGTGGTCACTCCTGCAGGCCGGCCAACTGGCCGCGGGCCTCTTCCACAAGGAGCCGGTCTAGACACACTACAAGGGGCCATGACCTGTGTGCTTGGAGCAGCCCGAGGGGGAGACCAGCGCACCCACTTCGCTCCTAGGCTCCGGGTCCGCCAAGGCCACAGGGGTGCCCACCTCAGAGGGCGCTCGGGAGCAGGGGTCAGCCAGGCCCCTGGCCACCCGGGGTCCCGCCACCTGGGGCTGGTGGGGCAGGCCTGAGAGGCCAACTGCTGGGAAGACGCTTCACCGCAGCACCACGATCCCGGGAAGAGACAGGGAGGGCTCGCCCCGGGTGACGGGCGGGCTGGCAGGCGAGGACCTAGAGACCCGTGTCCACGTGGGCACACAGGTGGCCCCGCGCAGGGGAGAAGACGCTCCCGACCTCCAGCCGTCGGGAAGTGCAGCCACCACGAGGACAGCTGTGAGCGCAACCAGGGGCGAGTGGGGGACGCGGGGAGCCGGGACCCCACGCGTCGCCGGACACAGCACGGGGGCTGCGCCAGTCAGGCCGGTCCCCTCCCCAGCTCTGCGCCCACGGCAGACATGGCCTTCTCGTGGACACAGGGTCACGGCAACGCCACGGCCAGAACCACGCCCCGCGAGACAAATCGCACGTCCACGCGGGCACAGCAGAGCACAGAAACCACCCGAAACGCGGGGGCTGACGAGGGCAGAGCAAATGTGGCCTGTCCTTGCTAGCTGGGATGTTTCTTTGTGGAAATGACCTGAAATTAGGGCGAGGGTGGCCACACCCTAGGAAAACACGACCAAGTGCCCAAAGCACGCTTCCAAAGGCTGGATTTCGTGGCGTGCACTCATCTCTCAAAGTTGTTGTGACGAAGACCCCAGGAGGGTAACACTTGCAGGTGCGGGCTTTGGGGGGAAAGGCTGCCCCCCGTGGGGCTCCCTAGGGGCTCTGCCCGCCCCTCCTCCCCCCCATGACCCCCCCCTCGGCCCCAGACCTGGCAGGCTCAGCGGGGCGGGTGGGAGGTGGGCGGGGCTGGCGGGCACCGGCGTGTTGGGGTCTGAGGAGAGGACCTCGCCCGGCTTCTTGCCCTCGGGCCCCTCGGGGATCAAGTCGGGGGTGCTGTACTTCCCGTTGACGTGCTCAAACTCCTGGACCTGGGGCAGGTGAGAGTGCCAGACGGAGAGAAGTGGTCACAGCTCAGCCTAAGAGCTCGGTGGCCGGTAACAGGATGGCGCTGGGTGGCTGTCGCCCCTGCGGCTGGCCAGTGTCGGGCACAGACCCCACCGTCTGCCTCTGTGTCTGAAAGCAGCCCCACTGGCCGCCAGCTGCCCCCCAACATCCCAGCCAAGCAGGCCTCCAGCGCGGCTCAGACCCTGGACAGCCGTCCGACCCTGGCCGACCTGTCCTCGGCCCGCTGATCTCCCCGCTCCGGGGCAACCAGGGCGAGGGCCGCCCGGAAAGGCTTACTCACCCACCTTCTTCCTAACCAGAGACATGACCCCGATGCGCGTGAGCACGTGCTGCCTGGAGAGGCCCTCGCGGGGGACGCCGTCCGCAAAGGTCTCCGCGCCGTCAGCCCCCGGCTCACACAGGTGCCGCATGAAGAGGGACACATAGGCTCTGGGGTGGAGGATCGGCACTCAGGGGCGGCCCCGCAGGGACCCTGAGAGGCCGGGGAGGAGCACGGCCCCCGGGGAACCTCCTGGCTGGAACTCGTCGCAGGCCTCCCACCCAGGCCTGCTGAGCCCGAGTCCCGGGAAGGACAGTGGGGCTATCCCTGGGAGGGACCTCCTGGACACCCCAGTCCTCCTCACTGTCGTTGACAGCAGCTAGTCTGGCAGAGGCGGCTGTTCTGGGATTTCTGCCAATCAGCACTGCCCTGCTCCAGGCCCCCAGCCACCCAAACGCCCAAGGGGGCGACGGCTGCAGGTGCCCTGGCCAGAGGGAGCCGGTGCTGTCCGTGGTGCTGATTCTCCCAGCCGGAGCCTGCCCCTTCTAGGCCGGAGGCCAGCGGCCTGCCCCACACCAAGGCCACCGATTCAGCCCCTCTACCTGAACTCCTTCTCGCTCTTCCCACGAAGGTCGCGCACCAGCCAGTGGGAGTTGAAGGCGTCCTGGGGGGGCATGCCCCAGCGCATGATGGCATTCAGAAACGCCTTCCGCTGTCGGGCGTTGAAGCCCAGCACCTGGGCAGGGCAAGAGCAGAGAATTCAGGGGCGGGGGAAGACAGGATGGAGGAGGGGGGCAGGGAGGGGACATGCAGAAGGCAGGGCCTCCAGCGGCACAAGAACCAGCTCATTCCCAGGGTGACCCCGGCAAATCCAGCCTCGCACCCCGCCCCCCACCACACCCAGGGGTGGCTCCGTGTTCTGAGAGGGTGAGAGGAATCAGGGAAGGGGCGTGGGCACAGAGGGGTGCAGGCGGGTCCCACCTCGATGTTGCCGCCGACACGGGCAAGAAGAGGGGGCAGAGGCTTGTCCCTGTCGCTCTTCAGCTGTCTCCGGGACTGCCGCCGTCCACCTGGGGGCAACCGTACCCCTCAGCACAGCGCCGTGTCCTGAACACCCGCCACACCTGCCACGTCGTCCCGGGACAGCAGGAGCCCATGGCTAACCACTGCTGACCGGCAGCCCTCACGCTGGTCCCGACGCCCACGGAGGTTGCCCACCGGCTCCCAGGACAGCCTCAGCCCCAGCCCAGGCCACCAGCTGAGACTCACTCTGCCCTTCTGGCCTCTCCTCGAAGTCCTCGTCCTCGTCCTCGGAGCCGATGGAGTATTCGGACTGGTTGTCTGACAGCTCGTCCTGCCACTCTGGCGTGGGGAGGCGGCGAGTGAGGCGGGAGCGGAAGCCCGCTCCCAGGCCCCCGCGGGCACCAGCAGCAGCAGGCCACACAGGCCAGCATGGACGTCCACAGGGCCCCTCCTCCGGCCTGCCGGCGCCTACCCTGCGCGCGGGCGCCACGCCCCGCCCGGACACGCACCCTGGTCCTCCTGGGAGGCGTCGTTGTAGTTGACCTGCTTGCGGACGCGCTTGCCCTTGCCCAGGTTCCGGGCCAGGTCCTCCTGTTGCTGCTCGTAGTGGTGCCGGAGCAGCTTCTCCCAGTAGTCAGGGTCCACATTCTCCTCCTGCTTGATGATCTCCCGCTCCACTTCCTCCTGGCGGCGCGGTGCCAGGCTCAGCGAGGCAGGGCCAGCAGGCAAGCGCCTGGCAAGCAGGTGCCAGGGCAGGCCGGGGCTGGTCCCCCGGCCTCACGCGCCTCGGGAACCGGCCACAGCTCCAGCGGTCAAAGGTGGACTGCGCGGCTGCCTGCCCGGGAAACCCTCCCAATTGGCCAACTACGGCTGACATTCCTCCTCCTGTCCCTCAGCCACTCCCTCCCTCCCTCCTCAGCCCCTCGCTGCCCGTCTTCTGGCCTTGTGCCAGGCACTGGGGTACAGGAGGCCTCCATGCCAGACAGTGGCACACACACAGAAGGATCGCCAGCACCCGCACCCACCCGCCACTTGGGAGAGACCCGGGAACTGCGGGTCTGCGGGGTGGAGCAGAGAGGCGCGCTGGGTGGGGCTGTGCGCCCTGGAGCAGGGAGGGTCCGAGGGCCTGGCCTCTGCGGTGCTGAGCAAGTGGGGGAGCTCACTGGCCAGAGCGGGCAGGGGCTGAAGCCCGCCAGGGACAGGGCTCTCTAGCAGGGGGTGGCAGGTCCGTATAACTTCGGAAAAGCCCATTGGGCAACTGTGGGCAAGAGACACAGGCCAAGGCCACCCGGGAGGATGCTGCTGAGGGCGTCGCGAAGGCAGTGGCTGGGCCGGCAGTGGCTGAGCCCTCAGTGGCTGAGCCCTCAGCACCTCCACGGGGATTCTCGGGAGTCGCGGGGTGGGCGGGGCCGCGGCGTGGCAGGGGCGGGGCTGCAGCGGGTGGGCGGGGCCTCGGGGGCGGGGCGGGGCCTTACCACGCCGTCCTCTTCGCGCACCACGTACTGGGCCACCTTGAAGGAGCTCAGGTACTCGTTCATGTTCTGCAGCTCCGTGTCGTCCGTGGCGTCCTGGTTCCTGTCCAGCAGCTTGGAGATGGCCGCATCGTCATAGTGAATCACGCTGCTGTCCTCCACGTCCTTGTTGTCACCTGGGGCAGACCGGGCTCAGGCTGCACAGCGCCAGGTCCTGCTGCAGGCCCCGGGGGCAGTGTCCTGCCCATGTCCCCTCGCCATGCAGCCAGGGCTGCCGCTGAGGAGCATGGTGACCAGAGAGAGCCCCCTGGGACGGCCCCACTCCTGGCCACCAAGCCATCCGGGACCCCTGAGTGAGGGGCCAGTGGAGGTGGGCAGAGGCGCCCAAATTGCAGAATGGGGAGTAGCAGGATGTGAGAGGGCGCCCCGTGTTCTCCGGGAGCAGCTGTCGGAGCAGCCGCACAGGAGCTGGGGTGACCCGGCGGGCCCCTACCTGGGGGGGTGCTGCCATGCTTTTTCTTGGCGCTGGCGGCCAGAGCTCCCCCTTTGGCCGTCTGGACGTCAGGGATGGGCGTGACGGGCCTCTGGCCCTGGGACATCATGCCTGATGGGCAGAGAGAGGGGCTGCAGGGCTGGCAGGCAGTGCCCAGCGACCCAGGCAGGAGGCGCGGCCGGCCCAGGCCCAGGC